ATAATTATTATTAAGTGTTGGGGAGTTGCTCTGCTCTGTTGAAGCACTAACAGAAGTGTAATCGCCTTCTCCCAGACATACACAGCCCCCTTGTCCCACCCTGGCTTGAATTTCCAGTAAGGTTCACTATCACTCTTGTACGGGGATGTCTGTTGATTTGGAGTGAGCTCAGCATGTTAGCAATTGAATGGTCTTCTCCCTCTCCCCACATCTGGAATTGACCATGGCTGAGGTGAGATCTTCTCTAACAAAATTCTTTTTAATGTGTGCATATAAAGGATGTGAGACTTGGTTCATGGGCACTACGCACGCTCTCTACCTCGTTACTTGGGAGACCAGTATAGAAAATTATACTACCTGAGAGCAGATCCTACCTTCTTCTTGGCATTTATCCTTACAGTAATGGACTCATACAACTTTGTCCTTTTGTCATTGACTAACTTCACTCAGCTTAATGGTTTCCAGGTGTTGCCATGTCAGGAGGTGTTTCATGATTACATAGCTGTTTTTTAAGGATGCATAGTATTCCATTATGTGTATGTACCATAATTTCTTTATCTAATTCTTCTACTGAAGGGCATTTGGGCTGTTTCCATCTTCTTGCTGTTGTGAACTTTGCCACAATGCATTTGGGAGAGAGCACACGTCTATTCCTGTTCTGTCTCATTTCTTTTTTTAACTTTTTTTTGAACTTCTTCCACATATCATATAATTCAATAGTTCAGTCATATCAAGATCATTACCCCAGTCAATTTTAGAACATTTTTTTCCTCCTGGTACTCATTGTTATTTGTGTAATTTTAAAAATTATGGCAAAAATATACACAACAAAACATTCTCCAACTCAACAACTTCTAAATGTATAATTTATTGCCATTGATTATACACTTCATGTTGTACAACCATTATTGATATCCTTTTGCAAATTGTTCCACCACTATTTACATGAACTCAATGCCCCCTAAGCAAATACTCTTCCTCGTTTACCTATGATAACCATTGATGAGTCTGATAGCTCTGAGGTTTACTTTTAGGTCTTTAATCCATCTTGAGTTTGTTTTTGTGCATGGGGAGAGATATGGGTCTTACTTCATTCTTCTGCATATGGAAATCCAGTTTGTCCAACACCAGTTGTTGAAGAGGCTGTCTGTCCATTGTAAATTTCTAGGTCTTTTGTCCAAGATTAGTTGCCTGAAGGTTGATGCATTGATGTCTGGGTTTACTGTTCTGACCCATTGGTCTACATACCTCTCAAGTACCAGGCTGATTTGACTACTGCGGCTACGTAGGAGGTTTTTAGGTCAGGTAATGTGAGGCCTCCTACTTGGTTCCTCTTTTTAAGAAGTTATTTGCATGTCCTGGGTCTTTTGTCTGCCCATATGAAATTGGTAATTTTTCCATTTCTTTAAGGAATGTATTTGGGAATTGGCTTGAGATTCCATGGTATATGTAGATTGATTTAGGTAGTATTGACATTTTCATAGTATTAAGTCTGCCTATCCATGAGCATGGAATATTCTTCCAATATGTAGGGGGGTTTTTTGTTTGTTTCTTGTGGTAGTGTTCTGTCATTTTCTCTGTATAGGTCTTTTCTTTCTGTCCTTAGGTTTATTCCTATATATTCCATCTTTTGTGTGGTTATTATAAATGGTACTGCTTTCTTAATGACTTTTTGTAGCTTTCTTTGCTGGTATCGTTCTTCAGCAGATGGAGCTCCAATATTCCAGCACCATATGTTGCAGAGGGTGTCCCTTTCCCATCTAATGTCTTTTGGTCCTTTGTTGAAAATCCACTATGTGTATGCGGATGCTTTTATTTCTGAGTTTTCTATTGTTTCACCGATCTTGTGTCTATCATTTTTTGGACTATTCTGCTTTGTAGAAGGTTTTGAGGTCGGGTAGTGCAGGGCCTCCAACTTTATTCTTTCCTATGAGCAATTCTTTGCTTATCCTGGATCTCTTCCCTCTCCATGTGAAGCTGGTACTGGTTTTTCCATTTCTCTAAAGAATGGCATTTGGATTTAGATCAGAATTGCATTGTATTTATAGATTGCTTTAGTAGTATTGACATTTTCACAATATTAAAGCTTCTTGCTCATGACCACGTGATATTTCTCCATTTGTGTAGGTCTCTTTAGTTTCTTGTAATAATAATGTTCTGTAGTATTCTTTGTATAGGACTTTTGTTTCTTCAGATAGGTTTACTCTTGAGTATTTCACATTTTGTATAGCTATTGTAAAAAGTATTGATTTATTAATGTCTTCTTTGGAGCTCTCTTCATTAATATACAGGAGTTTGATTGATTTCTACTTGTTAATCTTTTATCCTGATACTTTATTAAATCCTTCCATTGTTTCTAACAGTCATTTCGTGGAGTTCTTGGGGTTCTCTCTCTATAAAATCATGTCATCTGTAAATAGCAAGTTTCATTTCTTCTTTTCCCAATTGCATACCTCTGACATCTTTCTGTTGTATAATGGTTCTAAGACTTCCAGCAAGATATTGAGTAAAAGTGGTAATAGGGGTCTCCTTGTCTAGTTCTTATTCTTAGGGGAAGTATTTTCCATTTCTCCCCATTCAGCATGATATTGACCATTGAATTTTTGTATATAGTCTTTATTATATTGAAGTATTCCCTTCTATTCATATTTTATTGAGTATTTTTATCAGAAATAGGTGTTAGTATTATCACATGCTTTTTCTGCATCTATTGATATGATAATGTGGTTCTTATTCTTTGGCTTGCACATGTGGTTGATTACATTTTATTTTGAATGTTGAGCCATCCGTATATCCCTGGTATGAATCCTACTTGGTCATAATTGATCATTTTTGATATATTGTTGGATTCTATTGGCCATAATTTTGTTGAAGATTTTTGCATCTATGTCCATGCGGGATATTGGTCTTTAGTTTTCTGTCTTTTGGGAAGTTTGCCTAGTTTTGGTATCAGGGTTATTCTCACTTCATAGAATGAATGTCGTTGTTTTCTGTCTCTTTTTATCTTCTGGAATAGGCTGTGTATAGTTGATAATCCCTGAATACTTGGCAGAATTCCCCTGTGAAGCCATCTGGTCCTGAGATTTTCTTGGTTGGAAGTTTCTTGATGGCCTTCTCTATTTCTTCATTGGCTATGGGTCTTTTCAGGTTTTCTACACCCCTATGTGTTTATTTGGGTAGCTGGTGTATTTCTAAGTATTTGTTCATTTCTTCTAGATTATCAAACTTGTTGGCGTATAGTCTTTCATAGTAATGTGTTATTATTCTTTTTATTTCATTTGGATCTGTTGTGGTGTCACCATTTTCATCTCTGATTCTAGATATTTGTACCTTCTCTTTTTTTCCCCCTTGTTAAGTTTGCCAGAAGTTTTTCAGTTTTGTAAATCTTTTCCAAAAACAACTTCTTGTCTTACTGATTTTTTTCCCTACTGCTTTTGTTTTGCTTTGTTTTCTGGTTCATTTATCTCTGCTCTCATCTTTGTAATTTCTTTTCTTCTGTCGTTGGAAGGCTTATGTTGTTGCCTTTGTTCTAATTGTTGGAGGTTTTGTGTTAAGTTGTGGTTTTAGATTTCTCCACTGCTTTCATTTATAAGTTGATTGCTATAAACTGTCCTCTGGTGACTTTTTGCTATGCCCCAACTGTTTTGGTGTGATGTCTTATAATTTTCATTTGTTTCAAGGAATTTCTTAATTCTATCTCTTATTTCATCTATTACACAGTCGTTTTTAAGTAGTATCTTAATTAGTTTCCATGTGTTTATGGTCCTGTTCTTTCTATCAGTGACTTCCAATTTAATAGTTTTCTGATCTGAGAAAATGGAGCATAGGACTTCAATGTTTCTGAATTTGTTGAGGCTTGTTTTGTGACTTAACATGTGATCTATTCCAGAATTGTACCATTGAGTTTCTCATATGATCTGTCTTTCCTTGAGTGTGGTTGAATTCTTCTACTGTTATTGTTGAGCTCTAACTTTTGTTTCTAACTGATCATTTTAAAGCTCAACAATAATAGTCTCTCCTCATGTTACTTGTCTAGAAGTCTATTATATTTGAGATTAATATTGCTGCTCATAACTTTTTGTGGTTGCCATTGACTTGGTAAATTTTGGACATCCTTTGATTTTTAAATGATTTTGCCTTTAAGTTAAGGTATGTCTCTTATAGACAGCTTATAGATGTGTCTTACTTTTTAATCCAGTCTGTTACTCTGTCTTTTAATTTGTGCATTTAATCCGTTGACATTCAGTTTCATTATTGACATTCAGTGTCATATGCATGTTTGTTGCTGTCATTTTGTTGTGTTTGTCTCCCCTCCCCCTTCCTTTTTTCTTCCTTTTTTGCGCTTTTCCTGGTGTCTTTGTTTCTACTCTATTTCTACATTGTACTTAGGGGTGCTTTCATTTTATTGGTTTCTGGGTAGTGTTGTGATGTGTGATGCTCTCAGGTTTATCTGCTGTTGTTGATTATTCTCTGTCCATAATGAATTTGGTTAATATTTTTTGTATTGCTGGTCTTGTTTGTGTGAATTCTTTTAATTTTTCTTTATCTTGGAATATCTTTATTTT